GATGTCTTTCAGAAGCTTTAGAGAGAAACATCTGGAAGGGCATCTTCTCTAATCAGCTCAGGGTTTCCCCACAACATTTTCCACGCAACATCCTTCAGTTGTCCTGTGGGGCAACTTTCCTCATTATTTGAATCACACGAAGTTATCTCTTTGGAGAACCACTCCAGACTATGACTGAGGTGTGATGTCTTGACCAAAAAGACCAATATTTGCAGAAACGGCCAGGCAATTCTTGCTTGGACCCAGGAGCTTGCAAAAAAGCCAGTCATCGGACTTCTGAGGAAGAAATGGCAAACTGAGGAGCCGATGACCTCAGCGGAAATCAAGTTCTAGCACATTATTTGAAGGGACTAAAGATCAACATTGTTAAAAGTAAAAGGAAGGAATACAAAGTTGGTTTATTTGCAAAGAAGCCAATCATCATCTTTTGGATTTAACCGGATCAGATTTCAATCCGATTGCAAGGCTTGGGCCACTATCTTTAGGTATGTGAGGACAATATCGTCTTGAAGAGCTTGTTTTAAGGAGTGGGCAAGCAGAAGATAAGGGAAATCCAGCAAAAATGTATCTCCTTCCTTGCGACGTCCGCCACCCTCTCCGCAACCCCTGCGTCCTGCTAGAAGCACAGTGGCAGAGCACAAACCTGGGGAATATCTGTCATCTACCTCTGGATTTCCTTAAATCCACTCAGAACCCAAAAGTTGCATCTGGGAAGCAGAATGACTCCGAGGAGCCTCTAGCAAATGGATGGAGGACAAGCTCTGCCAGTTCCTGTCTTCTGTCCATTTATGCCAAGGAGAGTTTTAGGCCTCTTCTTCCCAACCTGGGATCCTTCTAATGTTGCTAACGATTCCACCCTTCCCAGATTCCGGAGACACCATTTCAGAGAAGGCTATTTCAGGCTCTGAATGCGTGCGGGTGACCTTTGGGCATGGCTTCAGAACCTCTACAGATGGCCTGCCAATTTCATTCAGGAATAGTACCAAGAGACAGAAGCAAATAGTAGTTTGAGGTT